CTCTCTCTTTTTTTGCCTTCTTTTATTCACTTTATCCTTTCTTGTTTTCTTTCATTGCGCTGGAAAAATGACAAATAAAGTCTTGGGTTATTACTGCTGAATGCTCCACTCGTGCCCGGAGTCGCTCCATAATAAGGATTACTTCATCTAAATATCATCAAGTAATTTATCCTCCCCCTTCAATCAATAGGCTTTGAACAAATAGATTATTTACACACACACACACACACACACACACACACACACACACACACACACACACACACACACACACACAGACAAATTGATGTGTGAGCAGTTGGCTTGTGTTGTTGTCCTGTGTCTCTATGTGTATCCATGGAGAACCGGGTCAGACAAATGCTGACCGCTGTTACCTTCATCACAGGGAAATATGATGATAAGTCTGTCTGGAGGGATTAGATATTGGCACATACACACACATTCACTTACACACATCATTTTATTACAAGGGATTACATATGTAATACTCTAAAACCCACAGTAACTGAAGATTTCTTCTGTTGGCACCTAAACATCTTTGAAAGTCATTTAAAGTTACTACATGACTCAATGTCATTGTGACAATTTTATGTTACTTTGCACACAATTCCCTGCATGTCACTGTTAAGTGCTGGTGTGTATACGCATGCTGTATCTCACTTAATACATACAAATTACTCTCTCTTCCACACACATATTGTACATTGAGGCTGATGAAAAAGGAGGGAATGGGTGTGATGTTGGTGTTTTCGTTCTCCTTGGGAATGGAGTGAAGGTCGAGTCACTGGCATTTGCGTGTATGTGTGTATTTGTATCTGTGTGTTTTTGAGTGGGTGTCTGTGTGTGTGTGTGTGTGTTTGAGCACCAGTTGACAGGACAAATTTGCGGCTCGTTAAGAGGCTGTGGCTTTTCACACAGCAATAAAGGAGGTGTGTCGGTGTGTGAGAGAGAGAGAGACAGAGCATGCGAGCAAAGTTAGTGTAAGAAAGAAAAACACAGTGTGGGTCTGTGTGTGGGTTTGTGTGAGACAGTAATAGGGTTTATACAGTGTTACTCTCTATGTCGGTGTAGTGTGTGTGAGTGTGAGCCAAGCATCTTCCAACATGCACATGTGACCATGTGTGCGTTTGTGTGTATTTGTGTGTGCATGTGACTGTGTGTAAAGGTGTGAGGTGGCTGGCCGGATGATCACCCACTGCCCAGCCCCAGTGAGGGTAACACCACACTGGTGACCCAGACACATACACCGTTAGACACACACACACACATACACGCACGCGCGCACACACACACACACACACACACACACACACACACACACACACACACAGACATAGAGATTTTGACAACTCTGAGGGGAAATGCATCTTCTGTCAAGTTAGTTTCACAGCCAAGGCATGATTATGGGTGGGATAGGCGGTAGTGAGGGTCTCCCTCACAGTGTTAAGTTGAAGACCCAACACCGTTCAGACACGCATAACCAGTCACAAGTTATCTTTGAACATTTGCAGACTAATCCAGATACATTTGAAAAAGCATTTTCTTTCTCTATTTGGCCTACCATCGGCACCTATACAATAGCATTGACTGTATGAACTTCTAGGAAACCATTATTTTACAAATACACAATCAAACAGTATGTCAATCCCAGCATCTGTGTGGTGATTGACGTACAACTAACACACCCACACAAACACACTTATACAGTATATGTGTAATTTAAGCTATTCAAAATACAATTTCTCATTAAAACGGTGTCTAAGTCCTTTTGATGTTGTTTTCAGTCTGTTAGCTGTAGTTATGTACTAAACGTCTTCATAATCTTTATTTTTTTTACTTGACCAGATGCCAGCCTTGTGCATGTGAGCCGATGGGCAGTGTCAATGGTTCATGTCAACCAGACTCAGGAGTCTGTGTGTGTAAGCTGCTGGTAACTGGAGACCAGTGTGATGTGTGTCAACCTGGAGCGAGTCATTTGGACCCTGAGAGCCACTTTGGCTGCAGTAAAGGTCTGTTTTACATGCATCCACACACACACACACACACAAGAGCAAATCCACACACACACTGACTTAAAGGCTAGCTGTGTCCTCCCCCCGATTTTCAATCTTTGCACTAAGCTACTGTAATCTACAGCTGCTGACTACAGCTTCATGTTTATCATACACACATGACAGTGTAATCAATCTTCTCATCTAACTCTCGGCAAGAAAGAGATTAGGTGTATTGTTGAACTCTTCCTTAAAGCATCAGCAAAGATTCAGTGCATCAATGATGTAAAATCTAATTCTATACAGTCTAATTTGGAGGCTTGCTGACACTGGTAACACATTCATACAAAAGCAACATGTTGTAATTATAAACCGTTTGCTCCTGTAAAATTACATAATTTGATCTGTTTAGTCTTTATGTATCATTGTTGCTCTCTTTTACTATTTCTGTCTGTGCAGCACCCTCCCAGCAACCTGCACCAGTGGGTTTTGCTCTCAGTTATTCCTCATTTCGTCTCTCTTGGCATCCGCCTGACTCCCCGAATTCAAACAGACTCAACTACACACTCGTCAGGGATGGACAGTCAGTGCATAGCATCCAGAGTCACTATCCTTTCAGTAGGTATCCACTCAGGTTCAAACAACTTTAATCTCCTTTTATTTCAAAAAACACATGAAACAAACAAATCCGTCCTCCTTCCCCATTTTCTTTTAGGCCCTGAATCATTTGAAGACACCGTTTTGTTTCCCTATACCAACTACTCTTACTGGCTTGTAACGGCTAATGTGGCCGGTGCGACAATAAGTGCATCAGCCTCATACCAAACTTTGGGTGCACCGCCAGAAGTAGAACAGCTCCATTTAAATATTGTAGGACGACCCAGTCCAACCACTGCTAGCTTTGACTGGAGCACGCCACCAAATGATACAGGCCCAGTGGAAAGGTAAGTAAGAAGAGAGAGGAGAGGAGGGTTTAAAAAGGCAGAGGACCCTGGACCGAAGTCAAAAGATTCAGTTTATGTTGTGATTCTGACTGAAGCTGACTGCCGACGAGATTGTAATGATCAATGTAAATCATTTATCTTATACCATGTGCATGTGCTAAAAGTAGCCAACTAGACCGAGTGACCCATTGAAGGCCCTCTTGGAGATGCAATTTCTAACAAAACATTCAGAATTGTTCATCCCTTCAAGCAAGACAGTCAAATGAAATTGAGGTGAAGGGGACTTAGAAAGCTTCAGTTAGGTTGAATGTGTTGGTGATTAAAGGAGAAAAGAGAGATGGAGAACATCAGATATAGAGAACAACCAAGTGAAGGACTTTTGGAAGCAGGAGGAAAGAGCGGGAAAACATATTGAAAATAAAATGATGTAGGAAAGGAAAACTGTTTATTTGACTCAAACACAGTTTCCCTGTGGCTACAGAAATAGAACATGGACAATCTGAGAGAAAAAGAACAAAGATGGAGATGGGAGTATCAATAAGTGGTATAATACATTTCATCGGGAGGTTTTGATGAATGGGAAGAGATGGAGGATTGACATATGAATGGGAAGGATCAGTTAAGTTTGAAGGTGGAGAGAGAAACAGAAAGTTTTAAACAGGATGGGTCGATTAGCACTTTCAATTATTTATATATTTTAAATATTATTTTTGGGGCATTGTTGCTTATAATGTATTGCTGCGAGACAGACAGGAAATGAGGTAGAGGGGGATGACAGAAGCCAGGACCTCTGAATTGCTATTCAAACCATTGGCATTGCAGTTTACATGGTACACGTCTTAGCCTCTAGGTCCCTGTGACGTCCCAACACTAGTTTATAACTGACCCACAATGTAAAACCGTCCCAGTGACCTAGTGGAGTTATAGCGAGAGATGAAATGAAGAAAAGAGGATTTGATCATCACATCTCTCACAGGTTTGTCCTATCATCCATGGAGTCTAGTGGAGCAGAGTCTGTCATTCACTACACAGGCCTATCTACAGAGGCTGTGGCAAGCGGCCTAAAGCCCTTCACCCAATACACTGTAACACTGGAGGTATGTGGGGCAAACAGTTGCCAGTATTTTTACTCTTTTAAAAACTTGTATTTATTGGATTATTATAGAAATGTCAAACAACTGCATCTTCAGAATCATATAACAAGTATGCTTGAGCCACACAACAGATGCACATTTTAAGCATGTAGAGCCTGCATGATGAAAATGACAAAATCCTAACCTTGTCGACAGGCGTGCTCCTCCGGTGGGTGCACTTCTACCCCACCGTTGTCTCTTCTGACAGCCTCTGCCCCCCCACAAAACCAGCCCCCACCCAGAGTCACTGCTGCGGGACCTCATACACTGCATGCTTCCTGGGAGCCCCCCAGTCAGCCAAATGGTAGGACCCCAAACATACACATGTATAGTGCACAGCTCATGTAACACAGAGAACTACAGAAAAAACATGCACAAACACAAACTGTACACACATCACACATCCATGCACTAAAAATGCACATGTTTTTATTAGAAGTACATTCAAATTACATATTATAACAGACATTTACATAATTAGTGGTCATGTCAGAATGAATAATACAGTAGAATAATCACACACACACACTAACATGAAACGCTTGCCTAGTAGCATGACTTTTAGGCTTGTGTCACTGAAGAAGTATGAGAAGCAACTCACAACACATACACTGAAGTACGCACTGAACTGGAACTGCCTTTGGTAAATCCAGAGAGCTTTGTAATGGCTCTAAGGCTCAATGTCATACAAAGCCCTGTAACCTGGCATTTTCTCTCTGTTTGTGTGTCTCATTTTTTTTCTCTCTCTGTTAATCTTTTTCTTTCCCTCTGTCATTCTTAGTCTTGTTATATGGGTTTCTCTGTGTCTCCTCTGCGTTATATCTCATTAATTCATTGTTTAAAGAATGGTTGAACTGGACACTACTTTAATCTCAGTCCTCACCTGTACACCTCCACCTTCTTCGATCAGTTTTTTTTCCTTGACTTGGCCAACCCTGTCATCTTTCTTGAATCAGCTGAGGTAGTCGCAATTTAGAAAACTAAGGGTTGAATGATCCTTTTGATGTATGTGGTCATATGTGAAAATAAAGAGAAACTGAAGAAGAGATTGGTTGGAAGAGATCATTTTAAATGCAACTCAACAGTGCATCTGCCAACACCAATTTTCATTTTTTTTCCTTAAATGGGGGTAAAAGCACAGTGTTTGCCTGGTTAACATTATTGCCTCGACCTTCTCTGTTGTGATTTGCAATCGTGCATTATCTTAATGGTAGTGCCATAGACGGTTTGTATTTTTGTTCTTGTCATCTGCTTTCAGCTTTTCATTACTATCTCTTCTGGACTTTACTCCATGGTGCCTTTGACACGCTATAAATTAATTTAGGAATTTAGGAATTGAAATATTATTAACAGATATCAAAGATAGAAAAAGATATCACTACTGCTCTACTTGCTCTAATTAATATATCATTATCAGTGGATGCTGATGTTGTATGGACTTTTAGAGAAACAGATGTAAAGACAGAAATGGTAAGATAAAGAATTTGATATATTTATTAGAGGAAGTAAGGATTGTCAATAGTTCAGAAAAGTTACCAAGAATGTTAACAGAGTATTTTTGGAGCCTAAAGGTAGTTTACAGCAGGCTGCAACCCCCAATTCTGAAATCGCATGAGGCGACTCTACTGGATGCAAAAAAGGAATCAGATTGTGTAGAAGTCTATGAGAAAATGACCCTATACCGCTCACTTGATTTATTACCTCATTAAACATTGTAAGCATGAGTTTATGGTCTCAATCGCTAGTTTTAAGTCTTCTTCAATACAGCATGATGTTCATTTAGTAAGATGTGTTCCCATTAAAAGTAAAAATGAACAATAAAGCAGGCCAGGCTTTACGGTGTGCTACCTTGTGATTGACAGGTTACCACCATGGCGTCATTCTGTTTGGGTTTTGTCCGCATTTAGTCTTAATTTTAGTCTGTGGCTTACAGCCAAAAGTATTCAAATAAACGAATGAACGACTCTATATGCACTTTATTGATGTCAGAGTGGTGAGAAAGGGAATAGAGAGGGCATGGTAAAGAGTGGTTCCACGTTAAGCTTCTCTATATTATTCGATTTTATTTCTATTTTATACTTATAACAGCATTTGGACACTCATCTATTCCATAGTGGGTCTGTAAGTCTCTTATTGTGTTTTGGTGCTGCCTGCTTTGTCCTCATCCTAAACCAGCTCTGTCATTTTCCTATTAACAAGTGGAATGGAGCATGAGCGATTAGGACAATAGCCTGGCTTCCACCAGAGAGCTAAACAGGACTAGCCAGGACTTAGTCATTATCAGCCTGTTTTCTACTACAGGGCCAAATGCTGGCCAGGGCTTTCTCACTATTTGTGGTGTTAGATTTTTGGCAAAAAAACATCAATGTATTAAAGACAATTTACGAATTTTAGCATCGGGTTGCCAATAGGGATGAGAATTACGCAGGGCTGCAGCTTCTAACACACACTTGATGCTTTGACTCTTTCATTATAAACGGGCTGAATTGGCACTTTAAATTCGATTTAAAAAAAAAAAAAAAAAAAAAAAAAAAGGGTTGAGTTTGGATAAAAAAATAAAACGGGTGCAGTCTTTCCCAAACAATTCCTGTAGCTGCAATTGTCGCTTCCCTTATTTGATTTCAGAAATAACTGTTTAGTGTTTGTTGTAGTCATAAGTACTAATCTTTTGCATATACCTTTTTACTATTTTACTTTCTGTACAGGTGTTATCACAAGGAACGAGGTTTTTCTTCGCGGACCAATGGAATCACAGAATCCTTCAAGCCCAGCTGTTGAGAAGCGAGTGTTTGTCAGCACTGGTTGGCTTGATCCAAGTGTTTCCCTAGAAGAACAGCTTACCAATAGGAGCTCAGTCTCGCCCCCTGAGAACAATGCCGTTGCAGGAGATCTGCAGGCGTTTTCCACCTATCAGATGAGAGTTGTGAGCATCAATATGGCAGGAAGTGTCACGTCCGGCTGGGCCACAGCACGCACCATGGAGGGAGGTTTGTATAGCTCCTGATCGTAGTTACATTAAGCTTTCATGCATTTTTTTGTTATTCAGTCTTGGTGTGTATCCAGGGCCCAAAAGGGCCAAGTTAAATCAATTTACTTTTAATATTTTAGTTTAAGTTCTATATAGGTTGATATTTTAATTCATCTTAAAGTGATTACACACCAGACAAAGTCAGACGACTTTAAATAGAAGTTATGGCCTAAATAGTCAACAACACGGCTTGTGAATGCTGTGGTGTTGACCTTTTATAGTTTATAGTTATTGTAGTCCACCAGATGCTGATTTATCTAATACAAAATTAATAGTATTAAATTAAAATAATACATGCATTTGCCGAAAGAAATGTAGTGAAAAGAAAGAGGGAGGAAATAAAAACTGTGTGTGGGGGAGGGGAATCTCATTAAGGTATTTGAATTTCAAATAGATGATATGGCTCATTAGGACTAAACGATTGCCTCCAACACCACTCTAAGCTATGTGTCTGGATAACAAGCATATGATAACACCATTTTAAATGTGAAGTGTGTGTCGGTGTTTGTGCACGTGCATGCGCTGTGTCAGAAAGAAAGAATATGATTGTGGTTATGTCTACCATGAATCACATTTCACAGCATATTTCACAGCTAGATGCCATCAACAGCAGAATAAAAGAATCTTTCTCTTTAATCTGTCATGTAATAGTGGCTCTCACAACCGTAGAATTATGGAATGCTTAAATCCATTAAATCCACATAATATCCACTAAGTCTCGGTTTTAAATGTATCTCTTTGTGTCTAAATAAGTATTTTCATTTTAATTAACGCATTGTAAAAGGTTCATTTTTATAGTAATAGGTGGTCGTCAAAGAAAGACTTACCATAAATTATTGACGAATCAACAACAGTGTTAAATTTATACATTTCAGAGATTAACAACGTGTCATCTTTAAGTGTCACGCACATATAATCTAAGAGAACTGATTTTCAACAGTCAAAAAGTGAATTTCTTATTAGAAGCTAATCTAAATGGATAATAATTTGAGTCATATTCTTAGTTTCTCAGTTCGTACCTGTATAATAACCCTGTTGCTATTTTGGCTGTGCTGATCACTATTTACACACATAGTGTAGTGAATGCAGCCAAGGGCACTCTGGTGGCTCGAAGAAAAGGCACATTATTATGAGTTCATAATGTTAGAAATAGATATCAGCTAACTTGCTTACCTAACCTGCTAGTCTAGCCTCGGTAACAAAAAATCCATGGATGTATAAATAAAACTGGATGCAGTGTTGGAGGCTCAGTGATACATGGAGCCAAGAAAGTTCAACTTCCGTCAATAAATTAGCTGTATTTTCAGCATCAGTGGACCCGTAGAGCAAGCCCACAAGCGTTTCCTTTAACCGGCCTCAGCCTGCTCACATGAACAGCAGTTCATTTGTTAGTCTGGATTTGGCTATTAATGCATTTTACAACTTTTAGAACATAATCATTTAAATAAGGGATATTAATGTACTCTTACTGTGAAGTTGATTAACCTTTAAAAAATTAGAGACCTCTCTTTCCCAATGTAAGTGTTTTTGGGCCCAATGGCATCACGTGACGGACCAAGAAGTTAAAATTCCATCATTTGGCCACTATGTCAAATTGCCATTATTATGAATCCCACTACTTTTGTTGGCAAGATCCGCCCTGCATAGCATTCAAGCGCTAGGATTGTGGCCAGGTGCCCAATGCTCGCCGAATTACTGGTAACCCGATTTGTTTGGGTCCTTTCTATGCCCTGACCACTGGGCTATCATGACCCTAACTAGTCAAGATCAACGCCTAACCTTAACCAATTGTCTCTTTCTCAACCAGCTACGCAGGGCGGGTCTTGCCAAGAAAAGCATCGGGATTCATAATGACGCGTCAAATTGGCTCAAAGCCTGGTGCTCTTCCTAGATGCTTGCTAGAATCTCTAGTATTTGATGGCCTCGTGATTCCGCTGTAGCTGAATAAAAGCTGTATAAAAGTTACTAGTTATCTAAACTTACAGAATTTACTGCTTAAGTCACTTGGGGGAGACTATTTACACTTCAGTTGGCAGTCCTGAAGTGAGCGATTACGGTTATTTTATTTTCTGCAGCTTCGGGGTTAGGTATTAGCTAATTGAATTCATGCATGAGATTAGCATTAATTTAACTAAACAAAAACATCTAAGAAAACGTTACCTTATTGTACATTGTGAATAGTACGACTTTAAATTGGTGGCTGTTAAAAAAGCTGTGTAAACAACTTAGAAATTAGTAAGTTATAGCATAATAGATAAATGAATTAATTGAACAGGTAAGGTTGTGTGCTGTGTCCTCTTAGCATTAGCTTCAGCTAACTGTATTTAGTGGCTGGTACTTTGTGTTACCCTCTACCCCTTTTATGTATTCTCAAAATGTTCAAAAATGTATTACTATATTTACTGATTTGCTACATTTTTCAACATTACTTCTTGGTTTCTTCAACAGATTTCTCATGTATAAATATGCATTAATAACGTGTTATTGACTAGTTCAACACTAATGAATGGCTAACTGTGGTGTGTGATGTGTGTATTTCATACATAGTCCCAGAGTTGATGACTCCTCCAGAAGTGTCTGCACTGTCATCCACCAGTCTCAAGGTTTCATGGAGTACTGCTGAGGGTCAAGGGATCATTGCCAGAGGACTGGTCACAGAATTTCGGGTCAACTTGCTCAATAAACAGACCAACAATCCCTACGCTCCTCCGGTTATTAGTCAGGTGACGTACGGACACACTTTCCCTTGCACATAATTAGCAGGACAACTATAAAACTTTCAGTTGAGTGAAAACTGTGCTTTTTGCTAAAAGTCGAGGTAAACAGGGTTTTTATATAGTTTTTCTGTTCTTGGTAAATGCTTTTTTATTACCTCATCCTCAGTATAACTGATGTTTCACCATGCTTTTCTTATGTAGAAAATATTCTTACCCGCAGCAGCAGTAAAGTTTTCGAAGCACAGTGTGAATAAATATGTAATTGACCCAAACACTTTGAACTGGCCAGGCAATTCAATACAATTTGATCTGATTTGATATGTCAGGCATTCTTTATTGAAAGCACTGATATCTTAGCAGATGGTCACAATTATTATACAATTAATCGTGCAGCTACTACATCGTTGGGTGTGTGTGTGTACCAAATGAATAAACTGAGGTAACTGTGTATGATGCCGCTTTCTTGCCTCTGTTTCTCTCCTCGTTTCTTCCTCATAAAGTAAAACATAAATTGTCACAACAAGTTTTATTTCCCTCTTTGTCTCACTTTTTCAGGTCTTACACAGGGTGGGACCATTGTCACAGCCTGTTCATTTAGTGAAAGGACTGAAGCCTTACCATGTGTACAACTTCACCATTACGCTCTGTACAAAGACAGGTTGCATTTCCAGTCTGCCAAGCACAGGGTGGACCCTACCAGCAGGTAAAACATAAAGATATGCACGCAAACGCACATAATTGCAGACAAAACTTCACAACAGTAATCAGCTTAGTAGAAAATAGGTTCAAAGACATGAAAATGCTGATAGAGCCAATATTTTATAATATGGCATACAGTATATAGATAGATAAGTTCAGTCAAATACAAACTGTGTGCAGTAGTGAATCATTAAATTGCGTGGTATTCTCTGAATAACAACTGCAACACAGGCTTCTGACATAATGCACACTCGTATCCAAAAGCACACAGTCTGTCATTGGGTACTTGAGCGGCGACAACATTGGTCGTGTTAACCAGAGGGGATATTCATGGCGCTCGGCAGTAAAAACAATTTACTGTTAATTACAAGGAGAAAAATGTGGCGTAGCAAACACTTCCTGCTAGCCATGAATCAAACACACACAGTTACAGAAACACACATGCAGTCTCTCTCTCTTAGATTTATAACCATTATGGCAGTAGAATGAATTAGCTGTGTTTAATAACTCGGGCACAAATCTATGGGACTGAGATGAGCACTAATTGATCAGTGCAGGATGACATACATTCACGTAATTTTTATTCAACGTCTTTATCTGTCAGTTTCTTTCTGGCAGTGTGTTGCTTTCTCACTTTTTCACTCAATCTATCATTCACTTCTATCTCTTCCTGGCACTTTCACTTAAACACAAAATAGCACATGGCAGCAGACAAACATGAATCACTCTGCGATATAAACACACACACACACACACACACACACACACTTACTTACTTCTGACCCTCCAACACACTTTCCATCTGTTCACTCGTGGTCTCTGCTCTTGCTGCTCATTTTATGTCTTTTTGGGTTTTGAATTTGTTTTGTTTATCCCTTTAGGTGAATAGACAATGGGTGCGCTGGGTGGTTGTGAAAAAAGCCTTTTATCTATAAATACTTGCTCAGGGATTTGGGCTTTTGAACGTACTCTCAACAGCTACATCTGCTGCCATAGAGAATATTTTCATTTCACACAATTCTCAAAAAGTCCTTCCTTGTGTTTATTTTGATGAATGATACTTCATATTGTAATCGGTGGACTTTTTAAATGTATTTTTAATGGCTACATCTGTTGACACACTGACGATGTTTATTTCAAGTGATTCCAAAGACTTTTCTTGACTGTAATACAGTACAGTACAATATGGCTTATTGTACCCAGTTGACTTTTTGAATGTATTTTTAACAGCCACATCTGTTGCCACCATTTTGTTTCATCCAACGCCAAAGATGTCCCTTGTTTCAACTATAAGAAATGATAATAGCATATGCCGTTTAGCAGATTTTTTTTTATATGCATAGCATGTGCCACTTCATTGGGTGTAGAGCTTCTGTCGTAGCTCCACACCTCAGAGCACTTTTTCTCATTCAGTTTTAAATCATCTTGAGTGTTCACAGAAAATATATAATAATAGTTTTAGCGCATAATCTAAGCTATCAGAAGGTGCAAACCCCCTTAGGCTATTACAACAGTTTTTCCTCTGTAACCTATCGACATTAGGGAGCAGATGAGCTTTAACAATGAGATGAAAGAAAGCAGTTGCCTTCCATTTATTCTTTTTTTCTTGCCCATTTTTTCTACAGTTATTTAAGTTTTAGACAACCATATTTTAAACCTTGCCACAGTCAGTTTTGTTGTTGTTTTTTGCTCTTACAGACAGAAAGTCTAAATATCTTTAACTGAATTTGTCAGGTCGTAGTTGCAATATACTGTTCATATTTCATTTGATTTTCGTTTTATCTGTCAATTTCAGAATCAAACGTTTTCAAATCAATCCTGCTTTTCTCTGTGCTGCGCCAAATATTTTTCCTTTTCTGTAAAAACCCAAATCCCTTTAGAACCCATTCTCACCCTGCAGAGAGAACACATCTTAGTCCAAGTGCAAAAAATATAACCTTTGTATTTTATTTATTTTGCGACAGAATCCCTTACCTTATAATTTATTCTAAAGTAATCTATATTGTTGCTGTATGTTAATATGTAGTTCCTTAAGGTTTCTCCTCCTAACAAACTGCAGCCTCTTTGGCCCTTATTGTTGTTAGTAAAAATTTGCAGAAAAACTGAAAACCTCTGCATGTCCAATCAGTTGTTATATTTGGTTTTTTAAATTGTATTTTACAGAAATGAAATGAAAATTTGTACGTATAAACCCTGACTAAAACAGTTTAAGGAGCAAATTGTCCTCACATTAAGCAGTACTCCTAGTAGGAAGTACTTGAGCGTGGTACTGATGCACTGATAAATGTCCCACACATAAGGCTGTGCCATTAGAGTCAGCTACCATCTGCTGTAAGTGAGCAGACAACATCTGCGAAACCACTGGAGTTACACCAAAGCACACGACTGAACATTAGCGTGCACACTGAGACAGACGTAACGACACAAGGAGAGCGCTCTCTGTCCATGTGTGTGGATGCATTTGCAATTGTTTCAATGCGAGTGTCTTTCCACAAAGTTATCGATCAAGACGTAAAGTGAGTGGCTAATCAGGGACTGATGGTGATGTTTTATGTATCCTACATCCATAAAGGCTTGTTCTACAAGACATACACACAGAGAGACACACACACACACACATACACTCACACTGTAACACCACTCAACAGAACAGGAACTTTATTGATTTACGCATAATTGGCCTGAGGCCCTTCTTGAGGAGAGAAATATGCATGGCAAGGGATCGCGATGTCAATAAGTGGTGTGCTTGTGTGCGTGGTGTAACTGTACGCTAAGAGCCTGTTAAGACATGTCAGTCGCTGTAAAAACAGAAAACACACACACATGCACAATTGCTCCTGGGAGCTGGCCCATGATTTAGCTGCTTCATTACCATGTCGGCAGCTAAAATTAACCTTTCTGGTGGACTGTTAACCTGTGTGTGGGTGTACATGTGTGTGTTTGTGCACATGCAGGATAAGGCAAGTGGCTTTCGTCAAACTGAATGTGTCACAGTGTTAAGTACATTTCAGTGAATTAACAAGCAGACACAATAAAAGAGTACGTGACACGCAAAGAATACAGGACAGGGCATTAGAATCCAATCGATCATCCGCGTTGATAGCTGTCTCATATGACATAATACACACCGACAAACAAATGCACACACACACTTCAGTCCTTTTGAAGTCTATCAAAGTTTGCAGTGTTTTTCCTTGAAATGCAAGTTTGGTGGATAGAAGATTACAACCTGTACCCCCAATAATGCTGTATTTAATTAAGTGAGCAAATAAAATAAGTTAGTGGAGGAATAACTTTTTTGACACAGTTACATAATAGAGCTACCAGTTTTAAAAGATGTTGTGCCACATGTAATAACATTTTTGGATTTTTTTCCCTGTGTCAGTATTTAGTTACACTTTAGGCTCTTTAGGTAATCACTGTACAATCGTGTTTCAGACAGCAGAGATCAATCTCCTGCTGTCAGAAATCAGAGCACAAAAGCATACTTTTTGTTAAATTTATTCATATTATATTATAATAAATTCTAATTTTAATTTGGCCACCCCCCAAAAAAACTTACATTGTATTACTGCAGCAGGTGATGTGACACTGCAATAGACTGTGTTGACCTGGACAACGACTTGCATAAAAGGCCGTGAGGGAGCTTTTGGTGTGAATTAACTCAGCAAGGTTTGTTTGCGCCTGAGAGACAATTGTAGATACAAGAAAATGGGGGAACTTTCATAGATATAAGAATAAACCTGTTTTTACAAAGGCTTCTTGCATCAGGCCCATTGACTTTTCACTGATCACACACGTCTCAAAAGTCTCGTAGGAAGAACAAATAATTTGATTTAGATTTCTGTTAAAGACAAATTATCATTAACGTCAACAACATTGCAGAATGAGAATACGAGACATCTGGAGAGAGCAGACAAACCTTTCCCTGATGTTTTGAACCAGTCCAGTCTAATCCTTCTTTGTGTCGCAAAGTACACATATTCCCTGTCCAATGATGTCCTGTGTCAATCACAGGTGACAATAGCTCTACTAGGATGAGAGAATCAGTTATAATACCTTCAGTAACATTTCCTCAGGTCAGTCTCGTTTGATCAAACAACAGAACCAGCAGAGCATGGTCCCTTTTGCCACTGGGTTTTACACAGAATCCCAGGAAACCTGGCTTGACCCCTGACGCAGTGAGAAAGTTGTTCACAAGATAAAGGTCTGCCACGTAGCAATGCCATAACAATTTATCTACTTTAATCTAGAAACAGACACATTTGTGCATTGTAATCTCCCCGCCTACTTTCAGACCATCTGCCTCTAATACACATAAAACACACACACACACACACACACACTCACTCATTCATTCAGACTAAAAATTGATATCTGCATATGAATGCAGAATCTATAAACAATCGGACAAGATTTTGGTATCTGAAGCATTCCGGTTTCTGTTTGTAGTTCGTTTGTTGTTCGTTTGTGGTCTGACTAGTGTTGACCAATCATGTTTGAGCAGACTTTGGGTACATGCAGGTTAACAGTCTGTGTGGAGAGCAAAATAGGCGGAACGCATTGGCCGCAATGCAATCTTGGAACTCTGACAAACGTTTAGCTTTTTATTTATTTAATTATTATTAACTGTGAACTGAGTGTAACTGGTTAATTGTTCAAACATCTGGTTGTAGTCATCGTAGTCTACTCAAACTCCACTCTCGCATCTCAAGTTGCTAATCGGTCTGTAAACAATCACCAGCACACGAAAGAGGAAGTCTCAGCCCATTATCCCCTTGAGGCTAAATCGGCGTCAGATAGATCCAAGATTTTTCAGACTTTGGTTAAACCGAAAGAATAATTAGTTTTCTAGCACACATTCATCAATGAAGAACACCACTGTTTAAAATGAGGTGTGTGTGTGGCACATTCAATGTTCTAAATGTCACCATAGCTCATTTCAATAGACTGGTAAGCTATCGATTGGCAGTAATTTATGGTTTGATGTGCCAAGATGAGCCGTCTAAGACAACCTGTCCACTTCCCCTTTAAGAGCTCTATTAGAACTCACACTAAAGATGGTCTGCATGTGTGTCACCGAGAGCTAATTTACTCCTACCACAGAACATTTAGACCATTACTGAAACACACACACACACAGAGACAGAAACACAACGATGGAGTGACACTTAATGCACGCACATCTTCCCCATCTCTACACCAGTCCATCACTTGCCTCTCTATCCATTCCTGTATATCTCCTCTCACCATATCAGCCGGGCTCCGGTTGATTTATTTATGATACACGTGGAAGCTACAGCTCAAGTAGCGCTCGGTATTTTTTCAAAGGGACATTCAATTTAACATCTAAAGTGAAAGAAGGAAATTAAATTGACCCTCTGTTAAATTAAAATTGGGCTTTTGTGCAGTCTAGACATACAGTGGGTATGAGATAAAGTGAGCCGTGACTTTTTTTCTTCAGGAAAAAAATAACATCAAGTTCACAAAATCAGTGTATTGATGATTACAACCACAACATGAGAATGCATTGCTTAAGTGTTTCTATGTGCACATTTACATACATTTACCAAACAAAGCACTTAGGTGGTTCACAAATCCATATATAATGAAAATCTGATTTAAAATATTAGAAAAGTTATTTGCGTTGAGTTGGCATTCAATCTCTCATTTTCTACCTTTCTCTCCTCAGCTCCAACAGGACTGTCTCCTCCTCAGTTACATCCAGTAAATAAAACCACCATTCAGATAGACTGGGACCCCCCAGCCCAACTCAATGGACCAGACCCACTATATCAGGTCTGATAGAGGATTTGCTTAAATACAGTATGCCAGTTTGCATTGGGTTTTTTGAGCTCTTTGTGTGTGTGTGTGTGTGTGTGTGTGTGTGTGTGTGCGTGTGCGTGCAAGACAGTATTCATAGCCATTCACACAGTGTACATATATGTGCTGGTCTAGTCTGCACAAATGTAATGAAGCACTGTTTTAGACTCACTAGCGGCATGACTCTATACAGGCAATGTCTGTTTACTCTTAGTCCACACTTTTGTACCAGACTATCCAATGGATTGGCACAAAAGTTTCCACAGACATTCATGGTGCCCAGAGGATGAATCCTACGGACTCTGTTGATCATTTGACTTTTCCTCCATGGGGTTGGCATTTGTGGTTTTGAGTGAAATGTCATCTGTTGGATGGATTGTAACACATTCTAGCCCGCATCAAGATAAATTGTCTTTGGTGATCCCCTAACTTTTCATCTTGCGCCGTTATCAGGTCAAAACGTTTATGACTAATGGCATTTCCATTAGCCTCAGCTGTAACTACTTTGTGTTTGTTGCTAATTAGCAAATGTTAGCACGCTAACAACTTGCTCAACTAAGATGAACATGGTGTAAACATTACACCTGCTTAACATCAGCTTGTTTACGTTCTCATTGAGGGCAAGTTAGCATGCTGACGTTAGCATTTAGCTCAAAGCACATCCTCTTGGTGCCACTAGGATGTGCGTAGAATTTTAAGCCACGGTTATGTTCCCAAATGGACGCATACATGGACAGCTGCGGACACAATAGACATTTAGTAGTGCACTACCAATTGTATTGTAGTGGCTGCACAGACAGGTCTGTCTGGTCACAACAAATTGGACACAGAGCATACACCCCCTGATGATACAATTTACGTCACAGCGCCTCTCGCGGACGTAGAGAGTATAACTTTAGTGTTGTGTCCGAAATGAACCTGGACTTGGAGAGTATAGTATCTATTGTGACAACCGTAAAATAAGTATATTGAGTATGGTTGCTGTAATAGGCACCGTTATCAGTTATATTATTATTATTATTAATAACATTAATTTTCTTTTTTTAGGTGGAGAGGTCAGACGTCTCTCTCTCTGACCCACAAGGTCCAGTTGTCAGAGGAACCAGATTCTCAGGAAACGGTTACTACCAGTTTCCCAGTGACACCCTTCCTGTCAACACTGACTTCACAGGTAAGAAACTACTGTATATCTAGGTATATGCAGATTACTGTGTGTGTCAGAAAATGGACGGCATGTCCATCTGCATTACTATATTCTGTACATGTGAGTATGTGTGCATGTGCATACATACGTGCATGCCTGTATTTGTTGGTATGTTTTGTGTTGTTCGGTGATCGCACTGCAGTCTCTGTCTTGTAGTGACATTCCCCCGTCATCTTAAAGGACAATTATCTTTCTGTTTACCAGCATCATTAGAGGGTTGAGCTGCACAGCCAAACATGTTCTGCTTCATCTGAGAACATCACGCAGTCTGACGCTCATAATTAATGACTGCTGATACTAATCAGTGGGATTTGAGCGGCCAAAGCTCTTCGATGCCACTTGAGATTACTTCTCTGTCCTGTACAAACCTTGTATCACCAGCTATGACTTTCTGTAGGGACAACATGTTTAAATTTGGGTCATAGATTACACCTCCTCAAGCCCTGTTAAAACTGAATAATAAATGTCAAAAAATAATTTATATCTGTCGGCAAACCAGTTTTCTAAAACTGTTTTCTAAAACTGTTGACAAAAACCTGACTATGGGTAGATAAAGGTTTTCATCTGTAATCCTTATGTGACCGTGATAACTGTAATTGAGTCAACAAATCTCTCTCTGTTGGTCACATAATCTTGTTCCACTAAAATACCCAAATATGTTTGCCACCCGCCCAAAGTATACTGTTAATCTTACATCTAATACATCAGGAGCATCCAGCCCAAACAGTTTGTCAGTGTCCAAATATTGAAGAGAGCCACAGGATCTGAGGGTGACCTTTAGTGCCCTAAAGGCAGCAGCTTTCATGCACACAAACACACATCTAGATTGAATTTTTCACTGCATCTGAGTGGTGAAAAACACAGATTTTGTAAAGGCTTTTTGAATAGAAATTGAGGAGAAATTAAATGACTGTATTTGGAGAGGTAAGCCACCTTATACAATATCACAATAATCTATTCAAATCAATACTAACCTAGAGTTTATTAGAATAAAATCTGTACTTTTTTGTAACTCAGTGTTTATTGATTTTGTTGGGCAATCGGTAATTCAACTTAACAAGAAATTTACATAACACACACTAGTCAATTCCCTGATATTTTTGTTTTATACCTAGAAGATCGCCGTTGGAGCATACACATCTTTAATTACTTTTGATTTCAACAGACACTTAATTATCAAGCACTTTTAATATTTACTATTAGCACTAAGATTATCTATATATTCTTGTTTTCTCTCTCTCATCTTTTTCAACCTTTCTTCACAAAGGATAAGTTGTGTGTTCTTATGGATGTGAGTAGTCTGAATGTGTATAACTGTATGAATGTGAAAAGGGTGTGGCTGAAACAGAACATGAGTACTAAGTAAACCTTGTCTGGACTATAATTTACAAAGATCACACATCAGATTTATTTTTTTTATATATATATATAATGATATCACACCTAAGATCTCTGTCCTGTACAACTTACTTCTTTTGGAGCTGAATATTTAGATAGTGTACTGTTGCCTTAATGCAAATCTGGTTAAATGTTGAGAAATCCCAACAGTTGCCTTACTCTTACCTCTTATGCTCTATGTAAGCAAGACATAGAGCATAAGAGGTAAGTCTTGCTCTATGTAAGCAAGACCCGGGAACCATGGTTCTCTGAACGCTGTGATTTTATCCCAAATCAACAAATGTTTATTTTTGATCTCATCCATGTTCCTTCAGCACAAAGGTAAATACTGCCAGCAAATAGATGATGCGTTTTGCTATTGAGCAGTGCCTCTCATCTCCTCCACGTTCCTCCTTCATAAAGGGTAATGGATCAGACAATCACTTTCAAACCGGATCTATTCTGGACCAAGAATGTGTCGGCAGTCCTCAAACCATCGCCCTTTTACAACCATCAATACTAATAGCATCATCTACAGACAATTATTCCCATCGAAGCGCATGGAACAGCGAACAAATCAAAGCCAAATTGGATTATGAATGTAATGCAGTGTAATGCCCCCTCGAGAGTCAATTGATCACAGAGGAGAGACTCGTCAATCGTTGGTGTCTTATGGAAACCTAGTAACTCCGACAATGACAAATGGAACATATTCATATGAGGAGAATCTTTGTATCGTCTTTTCTTTTCAGTTTCATAATGCAAGATCTCATGATGATTCATTCAGCAAACATCACAACTATTAGATTATGCATTGCTTGGAAATTGGGGTCTTTTGAGTCTTGAGGAAACTCTTTTATACATATAAGTATGAATGCTTCAGAAGATCCTGGTGGGCTTTCTGTAGGAAACAGCAGATCATCATTTTTCTCCATCAACATTATGCAGCATTATGGGAATATTAGTAGTTTTTTGTTGTCCTAAATTGTTCATTCAGGTTCTTACTGCAGGCTTTCTGATTTGCTAAACATGTGAATTAAGCTAAGGCACATCTTTAATCAGAGCCAATTTTATGTATGTTAAATCTTAATTCAAATCAAGACATTACCTTGCAAAATCATATGATGTTTGCCATTTCACTTAATCAATGGCCACTTTACTGAAATTATTTTGGCCAAATAGGTTGTTTTCCATGAGCAATTATTGGGATAGAGGTGGATGTTTCCATTATGATAAGTCTGCTCACTTGTGATTAACGATGCTTCTTAATGCTGAATGAATTTAGGGTACTTGAGGTCAATATTTACCACACTGAATCTTACTTTAGATAGAACAGGATTATAACCATATGCAATCACGCTGTGATATGAATACCCTGTAAGTGCTTGTTTCCATAAATGCATGCTAGTCCATTCATCTTATCTGTAATGCTTCTATATCTGAAGCACTACAATGTGACTTCTTTCTCTCCTTGTTCATCTTTGAATTAAGGGCACTGGTTCTAAACAGATTATGAAATCCTCTCTCCTCATTTGTAATTCTTCAGTATTTGAGCCTGAAATTGTCAGATTGGAAAGAGGACGAGGGCCTGCTCACATTTCCCCTAACCCAGATGTATTTCTACAACCCACAGCCAATGAAGAGAGATGAAACATTACAAACAGTTTTGAAAAAAAGGAAAAGAATTAATACAGGAACAAATAGACTTGGATCATTTCCAGACATGTCTAATACAGTACATTTCTGCAGCACCACTGCAGCAACTGAGCAGGAAAGAGGGAAATGTTAAATGATACAAATTATTTTTCCTTAATTAATATGATTGATTGCCAGGCATTGACGTTGAGAGGAGGGGGGGGGGGGGGGGAGAAATGTGTGAAGGGAAAGTTTGCACAGACATCATTAGTTTTTCCCCATTTAAAGATTAATCAGAAGAGGCTGGGCTCTTTAATTCTGTCATTTGTATATTTAATGGGCTGCTGCAGAATCTATGGCTGTAATTAGCTAGCTGCCGCGCTCTCATTAATATGCCAGGCTCTGATTAATGCCAGCACAGAGCTAACATGACTGGAGTTATTCAGGTTATGTTGTGTAGATGATTACACACAACCTCCACTGTTTACTGAGACAGAGAGAGGAGAAACAATACAAGAACACATGAAACAATACCTACCGAAGAAATAAACTTTTTAATGTTACATATTGTTGAATAAAACATAATTCCTATTTGTTCACTTTGTCACACACACCGAGAGAGAGAGAAAGAGAGCAGCTGCACTTGTTCATTATGAACAATAAACTATATTTAAAACAGTTCTCAATAATTTAATTTAGAAATGACCCAGTTTTAGCTATATGGTGTAATTGACTCACTTAACCTAGAGTTGATGGTGTGAGTATAATTGGTTTTATGTACTTGTAGGTCATAAAATGTTTCTTTACAGTAGATTAAGTAATATATCATTCATGAAAGCAACTTCCAGATTTTGACACAACAGCACTGTGAAATTATATTTAGCGACAAAGATCTCTGAAAACGTTCTTTTTTTCATATTCTTCATGGTTCTTCATTGCATTCACACTGCCTTGTTCAGTTAGTCATTGCATGATGGTTTAAAATGGTTCCTCAACAATAATTCACAACATGTAAAATGTTTATTGTGGATCATACAGGTTTCTGCATGACTAGTTGTGAGGCATGAAGTTGGTGATATTGTTTGGTCAGTTGGTTGGTTGTTCACTCGATCTCAACACTTTGCCTTAGAGCAGAATGTCCTCACATCTAATGGCCGGGTGGGTTGGCATGAAATTTGGTTGATATTCATAATGCCTGGCCAAAATATCAACTACTGCACAAAAAATATCAGAATGTTATACAAGGAGCACAGTGTGCACACATGTATGAACTCCAGAGGATGGTTCAATAATCTATTACAGTGGTACTTCATCTTATACCTCCTTTTGGACCTTTCTTCAGTCAAGTACCCCGTAACCAGCGCAAAACCATTTTTGGTAGAAAAAAAAAGTTTTTGTTCTGAAAATTGACAGCTGATGGCAGTTATTGATTGAGTTGAAAATAGGACTATTGAATATGAAATGTTTTTTTTTTTATGAATATTTTTAAAACAGTCTCACGTACCCCCTTGCAGTACCCACGAAGTACCCCTAGGGTTCCCATTTGAGGAACACTGATCTATTAAATTGTTGAGCAGATTCATCCTCCCAAAAGAATAGGTACTTGATTTTATAAGAACCGTTCTTTGGTGCAATTTCAGGAACTTCTTTTCTTTCCTCTACAGCACAAAGAAAAGCAACGTTGTCAGTGTGTTTGTCTTTTTTAGATGTAGGGCGATGTAATGAACATGTTGCCCCGATGGACCACTTTGCCTTTTTTATTTTTAACTAGCAATGAAAAGTGGACCCACAATAATTATCTCTATTAATTTGTTCTCTCAATTTTGGAAAAGATTTTACTTTGGGGAGAGAATTAAAATACATTTTTACGATGTTCATTATATAGTATGTCAAATATTTATAAAATGAACTGATTAGGTTGTCTTTACTTTTTTACAATCAAGTACTTATCAACTGCATTGACATGCGTAGTACTTGTGAGGTGTGAAGGCCTGTTGGGGGGTTGGGGGGGGGAGTTTGTGTATATTGAGCATTTTATTTAGCACATGTATTTTTTCTGAGTCTTTGGTGAGCACTCTCAGGTGAACAAGTGCATGCTGGTGTTTTGTGTCTGTGCGATCGTTTGTGTGTGATAGTGTGTGTGCTTGCATGAATGTACTCTGTATGTGTAACAGAGACACCTGTCAGGATGTGTGCTCTGGTTTGTCTGTTGATGGCTCCAAAGTGGTTGTCAGTGTGAAGTAGCACAAGTCCTGTGGGGAAATCTTAAGGAAGTAATGCTGAGCACGAGCAGTGTCACTTAGATGCTGTACATTTGGACCAAACACCACGGCCAAGCATGTGCTGACGGTCTGTCCCTCCCTATTGTGCGGAGTCAAACATGCAGAACATAATAAGCCACACCAACATGTGTCTATTGTTGCCTTATTGTATCTCTTGCAGATGTTATTATACCAAGGAGTATATAAAGTATAAACAAAAGGCTACATTTTTTGTAAAACAAAGATTCATTCTTGACATGATGTATACATTCAGATATACAGATACATTAATAGTCACGTTGACCTTTCAACAATCCTTAACACCATTACTACTGTTTGGCAACTGTGGGGCTTAGATTGGCCCTCCTTGAATAATTCATCCAAAGTAGTTTCCTCATAAACACAGCATGATAGAAGGAAACTCACTTCTGAAGTAACGGGTTCATCTTAAGACAGTGAGAAAAAAATCACAATGCATAGCAGAAAAGTTCAGGATATCGCACAACATTCCTTTATATGACGATATAACAGAATGCATCATCTTTTATCATTTAAGGATCTTTGCATGTGAATGAATATGAACTCCTATGGTAATGAGGCAGGAATAATAGTAGTACTGCTTCTCCACTGTCAAATCCTGCGAGTGTGTGTCAGGGTCCCACGGGCCTGTTCCCTGTGTGTAGGACTGGTTACGAGTGTGTACATGTGTGATAGAATATGTACATTCATTCACGTGTTCTGGCACAACTTAGAAGGCTATTTTAAAGTCTTGCTACAGTCTTAACAGTTAAAATTGATCCAAACCCTCTTATGTCACTGTTTACAATTATTCCTGAAGGGATACAGTTACCTGCCGGGGGGCATAAAGCCATTACTGATGTCCTGGCAGGTTGTTTTGAACAAACCCTTATTATAAATAATGAAATTATCATGTTCCGACCCTTGACACACCTGGTTTTTGACCTTTCGGGCCTGAAGGTGCTGCTTCTGCTTAGCCTCTCGTTACTTAGTGCCTTATGTTAATCATTATGTACACTTAGATATACATGCATACCATGTTGTACATGTTCATCTAAAACGTAGAGCCAGAGAGAATACCTACCTCCCATGTCCATGTTACTGTAGAATACACAATTTGATGGATAACTGTTTGCACCATAGTTAGAGCGAAGAAATAGGAACATGCGATACATGGGAAAGAGCAAAGTTGGGAGTGAAAGAGGTAAAAAGAAAAATTGAAGATGCAAGGAGAGAAAACATTCAGATGAGGCAATAGGTGGAGACGAGAGAATGAAAAGGTCAAGTGAAAGTGGAGGAAGGTTAAAAGCGTAGGGAAGGAAAAAAAAGGAATGTATGGGCGATCAGGAGAGTGTGACACAGAGAGAAGGTTAAAGGGGGATAATGTAATGTCAGGTATCTGTCATGACTTCACTCATCTCTGTGGTGACAAGGTCATGAATGTAAATGGCAGATGCCTGCTTGATGCACAGAATGCAAGTTCAACATCTTGTCTTCTTTTTGCTGTATACTACCAACATAGTTATTACACATTTATGTCCATGTAGACTTGTTATCTTGGGCACTATTGGTAATTAATGCATACGTTCACTGCCGAAAGGGACCATTATAAGAAGACACTTCTATATTCCTTCTAGATCCAAGGCTTTTTGTTACACTCGCATTGTTGTAAGGAATGAAATACAATGGTTGTTTCCTGTTATACGTTCAAACTATTCAAATAGCTATGTCTGCGCATTATGTCCATAACACTGTGTCTGGCCAGGAGCGACACACCTCACCTCTTTAAGTTTAACTTTTGTCTTACGCCCGGTTTCTACTTATTCCTGTCGCTCGCTTTGAAAGCATCGATATGGACTAGGAACGGATGATTTACGAAGTTGAAATGAGGCGTTACCTATACGGTACCTCTTAATTTTACTACAACCACCCTAAATAAGGTGGCAGCTGGCTGGAGTGAGATGTCCGAGAGATAGCCTGAATGTTTCCTACTTGCTGTAGGCTTTTTCAATTTGTCTCATTTCCAGTAAATATCAGAATATAAGATGTTTGTTTTCTGTTTTTAAAAGTCTGCAGAATTAGCTGTTAGCAGATCCTGTTTGCAGATTACCCATGGATTTACAGACAGTAATCACTAAATTACTTTGATGTTAAATATGTTTTTTGTGATCTCTAAGCAGAGATCATGCTCATTTGCAGAGGATATTGCAGATAGCCATATCCTTGAGAAATCAAACTGCATGAAATCAATGTGTTTAAAGTATATCTGTATTATGATTTGACTAAGTTATGACTCAGAGAAGGAGTATGATTTTTGACTCATTTACTTCACGCAGCGTCTTTGTCTCACATCTTTCCCTCCGCGCTCCCCTGGAGAGGCTTTAGGTTTTCTCTTTTATGTTTATTACAGACCATATCCCAATGGTTAAAATATCACCAGAAAGGATGAATGAAATTACAGAGGAGCTCAGTGAACTTCTCCTTCCCCTCTTCTCCATGTAATGTTAATCCCATCCGACTGGGGCTTTAGACCCTGATATATATACAGTATATGATGTGCATACATTGATATTGGCATCCACACTATTAGTTAGGATCAGTCCTCATTTCCATCACCACGTCTTACAAAGGACTCCAAAGAGGAAAACAGATATGCACCTCTGATCCACATAACTGTTGCCAGTACGTACTGTGACCCTGCTTGTCGACCTACAGGCTGTATATTGTACGTACACCAGCATACACAAAACACCTATTTTGGGCTATTTAAATAAGATTGACATGAATTGACTTGGCTACTGCAAGTCACTATGTTTTGCTATAAATCAACAGCTAGCATAACCATTGATCCAGATCCAAATAGACAGCACGGAAAAGGTACTTTTGAAAATAGAGTGAAAACTGGGAGCTCTGAAATGGATAATCTGTATTCATCTTGAGTTTGCCTTGTAACTGTTTGACTTCCCTCCATGTTAAGTGATTTCACACACTAATTATTTTTGCAAACACCGGCTTCTGATGAACCCTGGACTGCCTCCATTCAACCCTACACATCTTCCCACACTTCTCCTTTCCTTCAGAGACAGACAGAGCTGAGGAAACGCACACGTAAACCGCATGCTCGATGTCGCTATATCTAGTAGTGGATTAAGATCCAATCTCTGATCCATAGTAACATGACAAGACAGCACGCTGGATGAATTCTGTGCGTGTGTGTGTGCGTGTGCGTGTGCGTGCGTGTGTGTGTGTGTGTGTGTGTGTGTGTTAGTGGGAAACCCACAAGTTTCCCACATTGCTGAAGCTTTCACTGTGTATGCATTAGCAAACGTGGCGTTACCAGAAAATGAAAGACTCTGTTCATGATGGTGAACGCTGGGTGTTGTCTAATATCTAAATTGTCAGATTTAACACCAAAGGTCTCTTATTGAGTCAGGCCCTGATTACAGCTTCCACAACTGTTTAAAATGTTCAAGTGCTGAAGTATTGTTTAGCCTGTGTTAAATCAAATCCTGAGAGCAAATTAAAGCAAATTAAATATTTTGCTCTCTCTCTCTCTCTCACTTTGTATCAGGTGTTGAGTTGAGTTTCAGTACTCGGTCCCCAGATGGCCTGCTGCTCTGTGCCTTCTCTCCAGGAAATCAGGAAGAGTTCCTGGCCATTCAGCTCAAAAATGGACGCCCCTACTTTTTGTTTGATCCACAGGTATGTTACCTTTATGTTACCCTGTGTTTTATTTTTTTAACACTTTTGTAAAGTGTCACGTCTGAGCGCAAAGTACTGATATTTCAAGACCAATATGCATGATACTATTGTGATGATACACCTGTAAGACAGAAGGACATTGTATAAAATACATTTTTCAGCTTGCTGCTATCTTTAGTGGTAATTTAAACCATTTTGTTTTACCATTTCATGCATCTTTTTCATCCACAGTCCCTCATTTGTTTTGTCTCTTACTTTAACATTTAATTTTGCTCACTTTACTTACTTGCTCACCTTCCTGTGTCTTTTTCTCTTTTTTATTCTGATCCACCTCTCTCTCTCTGTCTCTGTTCTTTCTTCGCCCCCCCCTCTCATTCTCTCTGTCTCTCTTCCATTTTCTCTCACTCGCTCTCATCTAATAAATGTGATCTGTAGCCCGTCATTGGTTTCTGTCAGGGAGAGGGGAAAAAACTTTGAAAGTGTGTCAACGTTTGAATTGGACTGCAATTAACTCATTCCCTGCAGTCACCATGCGTGAATACCAATTGCAAGCTAATTAAGCTTTGCACACACACACACACACACACACACAGAGCCCTGTTTCCCTTATCCATCCATACAGACACATGTAGGGGGGTTAAAGAGTCAACGACTTAGATGATGAAAGTGATGATGGGAGATGATTACACATACTTCCATGAGGCCACCAACTAATTACACACTCAAACAAACACACACACACACACACACACACTTAGACTTTCCTTCCTCATCACTATCCAATACTCGTTATCAAAAAGCCCTCATCAAAATGTAGCCATTGGGTGAATCTGTGTGTCCTGAGGAGTTAGTCAATGAAGAGATCCTTGTTGACTTGCAGTGTTAATGTGTGTGTCTGTGGTTATGTGTACTGCTAGCTGTGCGATGGACCGAGTATGTCTTCTCCAACTGGGTTGATTCCTTTGTTTAGACTAGTTTGGGGTAATTAACAGTGGGAGTGGTGTCACGGCTTATTAGTGTTCCCCTAGATACATATAGCTGGGCCCATTACTTCCCCCTATTAGCCTGTTGAGCTAGCCTTAATGGGATTACCAGTGCAGGGGGGTAATTTAGCATGACACAGGAAAGTGATATGCTCATAAATATGTGCACGTGTGAGCTGCCACACATACACACACGTTGAAGCACATGACAGTCAGAAACAATACTTGTCACACGTTGAATAGATAGACCAAAGCATTGAAGTTACAGTAGCTTACTGTCACAAACTATTTAACATACTGAAACACACACAGTTCACACTCTATTGTGCAGGTGAGTAGTTTTTTACGGGCCACTGGCTGTCTCACTATACAGATGTGTATGTAGCTACTGGTAACGACAGTGTCTGTCACAGGCTGACATACTGTACTCCACATGTAGCTCTCATTACAGACTGTAAGTTAGCTGTCACTGTGTGTTAAATACATTCGCTAGCACACAGATAAACACAATTATATTTCATTGTACCAGCCATGCATCTTGATGACACTGGTGGCGCTGAGTGAAATCTGGAAAGCTTTCATTTTACAGTCCTCCAGCCTGTGGGGAAGAACATATTGTAATCTCCAACAACAGACGCTCAACATGTAAACTCAAAATTGGAAATGAACCAGAGCCTACCCACTTTATGGTGCTCTCCTTAAATGTGCATTTACTGTGTAGTATAACCCAGGGGATTCCTTGCCTACTTAAGAAAACACACACTCACAAAAATCTTCAATATTTTAGTCCTCTTCAGACACTTATTAACCGAACAAAAATATTGAATACTGATACATGAACTCACGCACCTATCCTGTCTTTGATGAATTCAACACAGATGTTTCTTACACTTAACTTAGATGATTGCTCATCACCTGTCAGATTCTTAAGTTAAATACGATGTCTTTGACTTCCACCAGTCAACTCCCCTCCCATCCACTGCCGCAATATATTACACATGCGGCTGATGCTGGATAAGCCAACTAAGCTGCATTGTTTTGACTGTGCCTGAATGCTCTGCTGTGAGGCTAGGGCTAATGCGATCTCAGTTTGTAGTCTGCCAGCAAAGGAGGGTGAAATGCTTTGAAGCGGGATGTGACCTCTTTTGGTCATTGGGGTTTAATTTACTGAAGCCTAATATACATTTTTGTTTATCAAATGATCAGAAATAACAGGAACATGCATAGATTCCTGTCAATTAATGTAACACAGACTTATTTCCTTTACTGTATACACGGACCAATCATTCTTACTGTCATGCATACTCACCCCCAAAGGCCCATCCTGAGCCTGGAAAAAGCCTGCCACAATAACACACACACATAGATATGCTCACAGTCTTTTGCTGGCTGCCAAGTATAGCTGGGAAAGCCGCTGGGAAAGCCGCAGGGGCAGCACTTTGGATAAGTACTATTTGTTGGTATGTGTGTGTCTGTTTCATCCTTCCAGTATCGCATACTGTATGTTAGAGAGATTGGGCATTGGGGCCTTCTAACTCATCAGCTGACACACATCTTAGTCGAGTGCTTTGCAACTCAAGTGCAGGCTACAGGAATGACACCAGCATCATTGGTAAAACTCTGTGAAAGCAAGGGTTTTGTTTCATCCAGCACGTAATGAGTGACATTTAGCTGATGCTATATATTGCCTGATAAATTGAGTGACTCCCTTGTATCCATTTAGTGATATATAAATGTGTGTGCGTGTGTTTGTGTGTCTGCGATCTTGTTCTAAGTGCCTTGCTCAAGGGCTTTG